CCACGTCGGGCGGAGAGTTTAAGTGCATTTTGGAAGAGCGTCCATGTACGCGCATTGAAATCCTTCGGTTTTGCTTGGAGATTTATGTTAAATGTATTTAGCTTAATTTGAAGCTTTTTTGTGACTTTTAGGGAATATATATACTTTTTCGGGGCTTGAGTTTGTAGGAAGTAGGGACTAAAATGCTTTTGGATGGGCATTTTAGCGTAGCATTACTGTGGATGAGTGCGCGACCATAGTGGGCAAATTCATTACTCGTTTGGATGCGTATATCTTGGCGGAGGGAGGACATTTTGAACATTTATTATAATTTCTCTTTTCTTTACATATTCATGATCACTTTTTTATAGATTTTATAAATTTTAAGAAAATATTTTAAATAAATTTTGTGTTTAATAAAATACGGGACTTATGTCGCATCCTGTAAAACTTTTAAAAATTAATTCAAAGTAGAGTTGGCCGGGATCGGGATCCCGGTCGGGATCGGGCGGGATTATCCCGGGTTTTTCAAATCCCGATCCCGATTTTTCTGATCCCGGTCCCGAAATAAATATCCCGATCCCGATCCCGGCCAATTTCAATCCCGAGCCGGGATCCGGGATCGGGATCGGGATGTGCATCAGATCCCGATGCAAATCCCGACTTTATAAATTGACTAGAAGTCTGTGAATTAAAGTTAACAGAAAAGGGGAGGCATGAAATTAAGAAAAATTTTTGCCTGCGGCGCAGAAAATGGAAGAAATTTGGCATCTTGACATCCAAAATTCTCAAAATTTTCGCTTGCGGCGCAGAAAAGGAGCAAATTTAAACAAAGCTGTCTATAAAACTTCGAAGAAATATTGAGTGATTTGGTGTGATATCGAGTGATCAAGAGGGGTTGAGGGGAGTATGGGTGGATTTGGAGCATAGAAGGATATCGGTGGATTTACAGTGATTAAATTAGATTTGAAGAGAACCGAGGGTTTACGAGGGTCCCATCCCATTTATCCTCCCCCCCCCCCCCCCCATTACCTTATCCCCCCTTAATACCCTGAACCGGAAAGTAAATCATGCGTCTATGAGACTTTAACTGAATATTTTAGCAACGCAGTGGAAATTTTAGAATTATATTGAATCGTTTGTGAAGAAAATAATTTAAAAGTTAAAAAAATGGCTGTAGTTTAATATACCGGAGTTTTAGTTCCGATATAAGACCCATACCATTCGATTCGTCTCGGCGAGCTGAGTCGAACGGTACCTCTCTCCAGGCGCGGAGATGCCTGTGGGCCGAGATATAGGAAAAAACCCAGCGCGAAAACCCCGCGCGAAGCGCGGGGTTTTGCACAAGCGCCTCGCCTACGCCTCATAGGTTTACGTTGACCATTTTGAACCTTCTTATCTTGACTCAAAATCAAGATATCGAGCTGATTCTGGTGTCATTCGACTCAGCTCGAGGAGCTCTTTCGAATGTTGTATAATTTGCATATTCGAATTTTTCACCCCAAAAAAGTGCTTGGTCCCCCCTATGATTTTTCGATTTTCGGGGACCTATATCTCGGCCCACAGGCATCTCCGCGCCTGGAGAGTGGTACCGTTCGACTCAGCTCGCCGAGACGAATCGAATGGTATGGGTCTTATATCGGAACTAAAACTCCGGTATACTAAACTATATCCAAAAAAATTTTTTTTAGTAAATCCCGATCCCGAGTTTTCAATCCCGGTCCCGATCCGGGATCGGGATCTCCAGTCCAAATCCCGATCCCGATTTCGGCCAATCCCGATCCCGTGTCGGGATCCGGGATCGGGATCACCATTCCAAAATCCCGATCCCGGGTTTTTCTCTAAATCCCGATACCGGCCAACTCTAATTCAAAGATAGAAAATGACAGTTTCAATTGATATTTTATTTAAATTTGATTTTTGGGGAAGTTTATTACTTGGTTATCCTCTAAACATTATTCTGATTATTTTAATTATTTTTAAAACACCAAAAGAAATGGAAACACACAGCAGAATTCTGATACAAAATTGTGTTTTGGATATTTTAGTATTAACAAATATAATGCTTGCACAATATGTAAAACTTTAAAACCAGAATTAAATTTGAGCATTTTGCGTAGTAAAAAATTAAAACTTTACGGAATGAAATATGTAGAAAGAAGGCCTTAAGTGGGGGGTAAAACAAACGGTAGTAACTTTGTCAAATCAAGTCGGATTTCGTTGATTTTGGTGTCATTCGACTCAGCTCGGCGAGCTCTTTCGAATGAGTTATTATTTGCATATTCAAATTTTTTTAGCCCAAAAAGAGCTTACCCACCCCCCTTATGGTTTTTCGATTTTCAATCGCCTGTATCGCTTGCGAGTTTTCATTTTCCGTTTCAAATATTACATATTTGAACTCAGCTCGGCGAGACAAATGAAGGTATATATCTTTAAGTTCCGATCTCTGTGGACCTATACTATAGCCAACCAGAAATAGACACGAAATAAAATTAAAATCAGAATTTATAACAATGTTTTTAAGTTCTATATGACCGATAAAGATGGAAATGCAATTTTTATTATCACTGACGGAATTTTGGTTTATATAATGAAAGAAAAGTTTAAGCCATTACTTTTCTATATTTTGTATCTTGTCTACCTATTTACTTTTTATTTAAGTACTGATGGATTATGTATGCAATTTATATATAGATATTTAGTTTTAAACAAGTAAAAAATTTTTTTAATTTAATTTTTAATGGTGTATCTTTAAATGTGTATCTTTAAAACCGAACCGGGCGGTTTTGCCAGTATTTGACCACGGTTTTTGGTTCCGGTTCGATTAACCGCCAACAACCCTAGTAAAAACATGAGCTTGAATGAGTGATGAGTTGAACTCAAAAAGACGGTGGTCAGCGATGGTCAGCTAGCGGCTTTTTAAATACGCGCCTTAATCATAATATAGGTATTTAAATTTTCATTTTTACACATTAATTGAACAAAGAAAAATCGGCTCCGGTACAAAATACCGAATCGTTAAAATATGGAATGGTTAAAATCGCGAATAGGCTAAAAAAAGTTAAAATACCGAATCGTTAAAATATGGAATGGTTAAAATATCGAATCGGGTAAAAAAGGGTTAAAATATCGAATCGTTAAAATATGGAATGGTTAAAATATCGAATCGGGTAAAAAAGGATTAAAATATCGAATCGTTAAAATATCGAATTGATAAAATGTCGTGACGGCCAAAATAGGTCAAAATGTCGAATTCTTTTAAAAAAGGGTCAAATGAGTGCCATACGTTGATTGTTGATAATTTTATCAACTTATTGATGATAATTTGATTGATAAGTCTCGTATGTCGTAGTCCGGCGCAATCTTTTCTGCCAGAGTTCATTGTATTTTACCGAGTAAAACCGGACCGGATAAATCAAGCATAATCGACCGGATCCGGTCCGGCATGATCGTACGGATCCGGAAAACATAAACAAACCTGATATGGAAAAATTAGAGTGGTGTGCATTAGTTTTTCGTTAAGATCTAAAGTTTGACCTTAACGTATACGGTATGGAATACCGAAAAATACCGATCAGCTTTTAAATTTTATCGGTCGGCATTCCGTACCGTACGACCGACACGGAATACCGAAAAATCCGTCGGTATTACGGTAATGCACGGATTCTAGGTTTTGGCGCCATTTTTAAAAAATTCGACATTTTGACCTATTTTGGCCGTGACGACATTTTATCAATTCGATATTTTAACGATTCCATATTTTAACGATTCGGTATTTTAACCCCTTTTTAGCCTATTCGCGATTTTAACCCGTTTTTACCCGATTCGAGATTTTAACCCCTTTTTAGCCTATTCCATATTTTAACGATTCGATATTTTGTCCTGACACGGAAAAATCACTCAGAATTTGCCAAATGTCAAAAATACAAATTTTTGTATTCACCTCTAACTCTCGAAAAATTAGTCTTATGCTTTTGATTTTTGCCAGAAACCACTGACCTATTGTTGAACACAGACTTAATGTCCACTGATTCAAAAAGTTTGGGAGCCGTTTATATCAAGGGGGGGCTCATTGTTGGGACACGCCCAAGTAGGCGCACGGCCATGTAGGCGCAAAGCCATAACTGCCTTGAAAATTTCTGTTCCTTATCAACTTTGGTATCAATCTCTTTAGCTCGTTGAGAGGAATCGTTTAATACAAAATTTGTTAAGATTTGGAAATCTTGAAGCAAGTTATGGCTTTGCGCCTACTTGGCCGCGCGCCTACTTGGGCTGTACCCTTTTTAGTTATATCTCAAACTATTTAATAATAATCAAACTTGTAAAACATTTATTTTAACAGAAACAAGAAAATTGGGGTTCGTCGCTATTTATATATGTTCTCGATTGTCGCACTAATAAATTTAATTTATGTTTTGTATACTAATCTTTCTGGAATGCCATACTCTGGGGGAGGTATTAAACAAGTTGATGATGATAATTTTAATAAAACATTGCCACTGTTTACATGTGAAATGAATGATGTATTTTTAACGGCTCTACTCCAGTTTATGCGTCCAATCGACTTTTATGCGTCCAATGAAAGTTTATGCGTCCAATAAAAAGAAAATTGGATTTTTTTGGTATTGCACAGTTGGGGTATGGTTCCACAACATTTATTCATGTTCGGGACCTACGCCCACTGGGTCTGGGGCCATTCCTTGCCCTATTCCTCGAAATTTTATAAAGTTACAATCGTTTTTCTGAGATTTTTAAAAATTGGCTATAACTTTAAGAAATTTCGAGCGATAGGGTAAGAAACGGTCCCAGACCCAGTAGGCGTAGGTCCCAAACATGAATAAATGTTGTGGAAACATACCCCAACTGTGCAATACCGAGAAAAATCCAATTTTCTTTTTATTGGACGCATAAACTTTCATTGGACGCATAAAAGTCGATTGGACGCATAAACTGGAGTAGAGCCTTTTTAACTAATATTTTAAAATAATTTTTATAAAAAGGTTGGACTCGCAACACTTTACATGTCAATTTTTATTGAAAGTATTCCATTTCCCATAATATTTTTTTGCGCAATTACAATGGTTAAATACGTCAATTCACATACTGGACTTGATGTGAAGATGAAAAAACTGTTTAGACAATTAACAAAAACATTAATAATTCTGGTATGTTTTAAACTAATTCTGGTCAGGGATGTGCATCATGACGCTTTAATGTGATTTTTGGCCGATATCGCGTTCTGGCATTTGGCATGATTTTCATCTCGGCGCGCCAAAACGCCAGAAATTTACAACGCCAGAATTTTTATTTTTTATCAGTGCTGGGTATTGCTCCGGAAGCCAGCTCCGGAGAGCGCTAAGATTTTGAAAACCCCAGAACTGGACCGAAGCCATGGAACCGAAGCCAGTTTCACCTGAGCTCTCCGATAGAGGTTCAAAACTCTTGCACAAAACTCAAAATTCTACAAATCCTTTTATTTTCTCAATTTTTTTTAATAATCCCCTTAATTCGGGAGTCGTATATCAGGGCCTCTAAAAATACGATCTCACTACGAAACTAGTACTGTGATTTTCCCACTCTTGCATTTCAATTTTTGTAAGTTTTAAATTAATTCTGTTTTTTTAAACTTTAATTTGGAGGAGGGGGTGTTACGACCGGAGGTGTCCGAGATTTAATGATGTTGACGTGCACAACAATAACAATTTATCCGGTGTAGAAATAAACAATGTAGGCGAAGGTGGAAAGGGCTTGGAACAGACGAAGGGAATCAGGGACTAGACGCGCTAGTATGATCCCACTAGACTAGTGATGCTCGGGTATCCCGATCCCGACTCCCGACTCGGGAAAATTTCCCGAGTTTTTGGCCTCCCGATCCCGACTCCCGATGGCAATTCCCGACTAAGTCGGGAAATTTTTACACCCCTAAGAATGGATTTTTCTGACAAAATTATATTTTCATTTATAAAAAATGAAGAAATCTGGCTCTTGGTCTCCTAAAATTCCCAAAATTTTCGCCTGCGGCGCTGAAAAGGGAAGATTTTTGGCTTAAGGATCTTCCAAATTCCTTAAAATTTTCGCCTGCGGCGCTGAAAACAGAAGAATCTGTGGAGTTTTAGTATAGAAGATTTCGGTGATTTACTAGGATTATGGTGAATTTGAAGAGACAACGAGGGATTTGCAGTAATAAAGAGAGATATCAATGGATGATTAATGTTGCACAGGGGGTATTAATACTATAGAGGGATATGAAGAGATATGTGGCTAGTTCACCGAAATTCCACCAAAATTGAACGTAAAAATATTTTTCTATGTTTGACTCTCTTTTCCTCTATTTCATTCCAACGGAGAGATTCTAAGGACTTAAGGTCAACAATTATAAATCAAAGCTGGGCTCTGGCTCAAAGAAAAAGCCCCCAGCAATACCCAACACTGATTATCTCTGCGGTTACTAGGTTTTTTGGACAGGCTGTTGGCTTATCTTTCCAAATAATCGGTGAAATAAACTCTTAAGTTACCCTTAAAGATCGTTCACTATAGAGGGATATGAAGAGATATTTCACTCCAGTGAGAGTCAAAATTTTTGGCTGCGGCGCAAAAAATGAAAGAAATCTAACTTCAGACCTAAAAATTCTCAAAATTTTCGCCTGCGGCGCTAGTAAGGCTTCTTTACCTTCCAAAATTTTCAATATTTTTGCCTATGGTGCAAAAAATCGGAATTTTTGGCGCCGAAGGCGCCAAAGTTTTTTTTATTGCTAATTCCCGACTCCCGATCCCGACTCCCGAGGTCATTTCCCGACCCGACTCCCGTTTCCCGATTCCCGGGTTTTTTCTTCTCCCGAGCATCACTACACTAGACTGACGCTTTCACTGGCTTTTATACTATAGCGATACCACTACACAACATGGGCGGGAGGAGGGAGGGGGGATGATAGCCAAAAAGTACCTAATAATATTTAGGCTGTTGTTCCATTCATAAAACAAGCAGCAATGTTAATACTTATATATTATGACTACACAGGCAACAGTTTGCCAAACATTTATCGAATAATTATTGGCAATTGGTGCCATTTCACCCCCGTATTCAACGCAATTATTTGTATCTTGACAAACAAACCATATCGAAAGGCTGTATTTAAAAGTTTAAGAATATATCCACAATGATCTTTAATTCTTTATATTTTATCTTAATTAAACATCAATGAAATTTTATTGTAAAATTAAAATATTTAAAATTTGTATGTACAGTCAAAAAATTATAAATCTATAGTAAAGTTGAAAGGTGTTGGGTATTATAAATCTAATAATAATTATAAATTTATATTAAAGTTAGAAGGTGTTGGGGTAGAGTTCTGCATTGTGCGTGGCCTGCGCACTCAGCAACCAAACGGGCCAACTCACCTATTCTTTCGTTGCCCAAAGAGATAAACAATTATAAATAGAACTAAACTGTTTATTTCATATTTAAAATACAATTCACATTCAATCACAATAGAAACTAACTCGTATATGGGAGAAATGGATTTTATTATATAAGTGAATAATATAAGCTGAATTAATTATAAAATATAAGTAGTCGGGGAACTGATTTATTGTTCTTGAGTAGTGATTATATGTTTTATTAGGCTATTTGAGTCTTCCTTTCACTATTTAGTGTGTGTATGACAATGCGTCAGTGGAATGTCGGTCAGTGAAATATATTGGAGGATTAGAAGACTTAAGTGTGATATCTAAGGATACCCTCATAATCCATCCAAATTAATTGTATGCCCTTAATCCTCAGATATATTTCATTAATGTGTAGGAACAAAAATATTTGTTCTAGACTAAGACTTCATATCTACTTTGATAAATTGAATTCCACGAACAATTTTTTTGAATTCTAACTTCTGGAGTAATGAGTGATTTTATTAAAAATTCCCCCAAAATAAAACCGGAATTTGTCTAAACGTTTTTAAAATTTGGAATAACCGAAAACCGGGGGTAGTGAACCCTAGTATACAATATACTACTTTTTTGCCAGACAAACAAAATTTCACCTGTAAATTAAAATAATTTTTTTGAAAATTAGATAAATATTATTGTCTATAATTTTAAAAATTGTTGCCCGAAGTTGGCATTTTAGCTTAATTGGCTGATAATATTTAAACAAAAAATGACAGAGGGCAACACTTAATTATTCATATAATAATTACTTATTAAAAAAATTTTTTTTGTCATTTAGAGGACGTTAAGTAAATACCAGGTGAATTTAACGGGGTTTCTTTCATAAACAAAAATTCTAACTGAAAAAATTCATAAAGCTAAAACAAAAATTCATAAAGCTAATACAAAAATTCATATTATTTTTCAATAGAAAATGTCGTCAGTTTTACTTGATATTTTATTTAAATTTGATTTTTGGGGGAGTTTATTACTTGGTTATCCTCTAAACATTATTCTGATTATTTTAATTATTTTTAAAACACCAAAAGAAATGGAAACACACAGCAGAATTCTGATACAAAATTGTGTTTTGGATATTTTAGTATTAACATCTCAAATGTTTACACAAATTGTAAAACTTAATAATAAACTATAAAATCATAATTTAATAAAACTTGAACATTTTTTAAGTTTTATATAACCGACAAGGATGGAAATGCAATTTATATTGTAACTGACGGGATTTTAATTTATTTTATGAAAGAAGCGTTTAACCCATTACTATTTTATTATATGTTGATTACTTGTTTATTTATTTACAATCTAAGTACAAACGGATTATGTGTTCAATTTGTATATAGATATTTAATTTTAAACAGGTACCGTTAAATTAAAGTTTTTTTGGATCTATCTGCTAAAATTAAAATAAGGGTATCACGACTTTTGCGCCGAGAACATTTGCGCCGCGACTTTTGCGCCGCGACTTGTGCGCCGCGACTTTTGCGCCGGGCGACTTATGCGCCGCGACATTTGCGCCGCAACAATTATAAAAAATAATATCTACAGTCGAACATAATTATAGTGTAAGTCTTAAAAAATGGCGTCCAGGATCTGAAGGAATTTCAGGAAGTACAATATTTCAGGAAGAACTTGACTTTTTTTTTTTTCTTCAAAGAACTTGACTTTTTCGGATCAGGATATTTGGTCTGCTATAAACAGACCCCCTAGAGGTGTCATCTTCAAAGAACTTGACTTTTTCGGATCAGGATATTTGGTCTGCTACCCCTATTCAAGCATGATTTTCTGCCAGAAGAGAGTGCACTATAGTATATATACCAATTAATTCTGGTATGTTTTAAATTAATTCTGGTATGTTTTAAATTAATTCTGGTATGTTTTAAATTAATTCTGGTATGTTTTAAATTAATTCTGGTATGTTTTATAATTCTGGTATGTTTTAAATTAATTCTGGTATGTTTTAAATTAATTCTGGTATGTTTTATAATTCTGATATCTTTTATAATTCTGGTATGTTTTATAATTCTGGTATGTTTTGAATTAATTCTGGTATGTTTTGAATTAATTCTGGTATGTTTTGAATTAATTCTGGTATGTTTTATAATTCTGGTATGTTTTAAATTAATTCTGGTATGTTTTATAATTCTGGTATGTTTTATAATTCTGGTATGTTTTAAATTAATTCTGGTATGTTTTAAATTAATTCTGGTATGTTTTAAATTAATTCTGGTATGTTTTAAATTAATTCTGGTATGTTTTATAATTCTGGTATGTTTTAAATTAATTCTGGTATGTTTTAAATTAATTCTGGTATGTTTTAAATTAATTCTGGTATGTTTTAAATTAATTCTGGTATGTTTTATAATTCTGATATCTTTTATAATTCTGGTATGTTTTATAATTCTGGTATGTTTTGAATTAATTCTGGTATGTTTTGAATTAATTCTGGTATGTTTTGAATTAATTCTGGTATGTTTTATAATTCTGGTATGTTTTAAATTAATTCTGGTATGTTTTATAATTCTGGTATGTTTTATAATTCTGGTATGTTTTAAATTAATTCTGGTATGTTTTAAATTAATTCTGGTATGTTTTAAATTAATTCTGGTATGTTTTAAATTAATTCTGGTATGTTTTATAATTCTGGTATGTTTTAAATTAATTCTGGTATGTTTTAAATTAATTCTGGTATGTTTTAAATTAATTCTGGTATGTTTTAAATTAATTCTGGTATGTTTTATAATTCTGGTATGTTTTATAATTCTGGTATGTTTTATAATTCTGGTATGTTTTGAATTAATTCTGGTATGTTTTGAATTAATTCTGGTATGTTTTGAATTAATTGTTGTATGTTTTAAAATAATTCTGGTATGTTTTAATTAATTCTGGTATGTTTTATAATTCTGGTATGTTTTATAATTCTGGTATGTTTTAAATTAATTCTGGTATGTTTTATAATTCTGGTATGTTTTATAATTCTGGTATGTTTTGAATTAATTCTGGTATGTTTTGAATTAATTCTGGTATGTTTTGAATTAATTGTTGTATGTTTTAAAATAATTCTGGTATGTTTTAATTAATTCTGGTATGTTTTATAATTCTGGTATATTTTATAATTCTGGTATGTTTTAAATTAATTCTGGTATGTTTTATAATTCTGGTATGTTTTGAATTAATTCTGGTATGTTTTGAATTAATTCTGGTATGTTTTGAATTAATTCTGGTATGTTTTGAATTAATTCTGGTATGTTTTGAATTAATTCTGGTATGTTTTGAATTAATTCTGGTATGTTTTGAATTAATTGTATGTTTTAAAATAATTCTGGTATGTTTTAATTAATTCTGGTATGTTTTATAATTCTGGTATGTTTTATAATTCTGGTATGTTTTATAATTCTGGTATGTTTTATAATTCTGGTATGTTTTGAATTAATTCTGGTATGTTTTGAATTAATTCTGGTATGTTTTGAATTAATTCTGGTATGTTTTGAATTAATCCTGGTATGTTTTGAATTAATTCTGGTATGTTTTGAATTAATTCTGGTATGTTTTGAATTAATTCTGGTATGTTTTGAATTAATTCTGGTATGTTTTGAATTAATTCTGGTATGTTTTGAATTAATTCTGGTATGTTTTGAATTAATTCTGGTATGTTTTGAATTAATCTGCTTTTACAAAACAAGTTTTAATAATATTTAGGCTGCTGTTCCTCTACTTAAACATGCAACAATTTTAATACATATATTATTTGTCCACACAAACAACAATACGACAAACATTATTCGAATAATTACTCTTGTTTGGTTTCATTTTACCCCTGTATTTAACTCAATTGTTTGTATATTAACAAACAAACCATATCGAAATGCTGTTTTTAAAAAAATAAAAAATATTTCCACAATGATCCACAAAAATTCATCTCAATTACACACAACTGTTTTAAATAGTGTTAGGCAAATGGATTTTTTCGGTACCCGTATCGGTAGTTTTTGGTACCGGTACCTTTTATTCAATCATGGTCATTGTCTTATTATAGGTGTTACTCTATTCTGTCTCCAAAAACATACTCATAGCTAAGCCATATTCTATTGTACGCAACTATTGTATATATTATTATCGTGATAAAATATAGTTGTTATTTACTGTCTTAATTATTCTTTGTAGAATTAATTATTATTATTCTTATTATTATTCTTATTATTATTATTATTATTATTAATTATTCTTAATTATTCTTACATAACAAAATATATTAAATGTAAGACTCCAAAATTTTTGTAACTACGTACAGGAACACAAGTTTCTTTATCTGTTCAAAAATTTGTTTATGAGATTAGATGCAAGACACAAGAACAATTTTGATCGTATTAGAAATTTGAATAGCAGCGTTTCCTAGGAATTATAATCCTCCGGTAATATACCGTATTTATTCCAATTGAATGGCCCCTCACCATTTCAATGGCCCTTCCAATTGAATGATTATTTTTGGGGTATTCAAAATAGATTGACGGCCATTCAATTATAACAAATACTGTGTATTATAGATATCCAAGTATATTTAGAAATCCAAGTCAGATTTATCTTAGAATGAATAATAGCTCTGAATCTATGTATCACTTTAAAATTTTAAATGTCTTCTCGTTTTTAAGGGTTTAAAGTAAACCAGCATCTTCAGTAGACAAGACTGATGTGTTATCCATTACATACGCCGCCTACTGCACACCCTTAGGAATTAGATAGCTTTATGCTTTACAATACTTCATTAAGAAACTAATAAATATCTTCATATTTAACTTTAAACACTCGCAAATTAAAATAAATTTCTAAAAATAAGCTAAATATTATTGTCTATAATTTTAAGAATGTAGGTTTACTCAAAAAAGTTGACATTTTACTTAATTGTGGCAGATAATTTTAAAAATAAAGCAGTCATTTATTAATATAATAATTGAATAATAAATAAAATAAAAGTTAAAAAAATTATTTTATTTAATTATAAAAGCCATTAAATATATACCAGGTGAATTTACCGGATTTCTCTCTTAATTAATATCTAAAATTCTAATTGAAAATTTCTGTAATAAAACCGAGAACAATATATTTAATTTAAATAGAGAATGCCCAATCTAATGGATATTTTCCTTTTTTGGGATTTTTGGGGGAGTTTATTACTTGGTTATCCTCTAAACATTATTCTGATTATTTTAATTATTTTTAAAACACCAAAAGAAATGAAAACACACAGCAGAATTCTGATACAAAATTGTGTTTTGGATATTTTAATGTTGACTGTTCAAATGTTCATACAAACGGTAAAACTTGGTAAAAACCAGAATTAAAGTTAGATTAGAATCATGTGAATAAAAGTTAGCATTGTTTTTTAATGTAATTTTATTAATTTTAGAGTCTCTTGACAAATTATTTTAATTTGGGTAAAATGAACAGTAATAAGCGCACACGGGTTGGGGTCATAAGGGCGCGGGGCCATTAGGGCGCCAGCACTAGAAACTGACACTTAGGCGAAACCGAAATTTATGAAAATTTTCTCAAATTTCTCTAACATCATTGACTACCTCCTCCAGAAATTTCAGAATTTTTCATCGAATATTTCTGAAGTTATAGTTGATAAACCGTGAAAAATTAGGGTTTTTTCGGAAAATCAACATTTTTGGTCACAATTTCCGAAATTCTTGATCAAAAATTCTGAAATTTTTGGAGAACGTAGATAAAGGCATGAGAGTTATTATTGCAAAATTTTATCTTTTTTGATAAGCAACTCACTTTTTTATAAGATTGCGCCCTACTGGCCCCGCGCCCTAATGGCCCAGTCCCGCGCACACAGGTTCTGCCAATATTTCACCAATCAATTCACGAATAAGTTAAAACAAAAAAAATTTCTTAGTATAAATAAATAATAATAGCCTTATACTGTCATTTTACCACAAATCTAGACATTTTTATATAATTTTTTTTCAACAATGTAAGTGGACCCCCTTTAGTTGAAATTGTTTTTTTAAATAAATAAATAAATAAAAACCAAAATTTGTTATAATTTAATGAAACTTGAACATTTAAGTTTTATATAACCGACAAGTATGGAAATTCAATTTATATTATAACCGACGGGATTTTGTTTTATTTTATGAAAGAAAAGTTTGATCCATTATTCTATTATATGCAGATTACTTGGCAATTTATTTACAATTTAAATACAAACGGATTATGCGTTCAATTTATATATAGATATTTGGTCTTAAACAAGTAAGCAATAAATCAGAATTTTTCTAAACAGTAACGTAGCACCTCAGTTCAGTATGGATCAGTTCATTCTGAACCCTATTACTCAGCGAAGAATCATTTTTTTCATGTTCTTGGTATCATTAGATAGAGAATCAGAGGTGCGTCGTTTACGTTAAGGCAGGTGCTAAATTAAATTTAGCATTTAACTTAAATTCTGTTGCTTGTTGTTATTTAGACATTAGACTGGACAGGACATTTACCGACTTCAGGCTCTTGTATAAATTTAAAGAAGATGCCTGAATTCCGAATTTTTTCCCGAATTCCGAATTTCAATATACATATAAACATTTATTTTAACAGAAACATGAAAATTGGCTTCCGTCGATATTCTTATATGTTTTCAATTGTTGTAATAATTGACGTATTTTACACATTGGCTATCATCTTTTTCACTATACCCTATTTTGAAGGAGGTTTTCAACAATTTTCAGAGTTTAATAAAACTTTGCCCTACTTTCAATGCGGAATGGATAATGTATAATTTTTAAAATTATTTTTAGTATGAATTTTTTGAAAAGGCAAGTATTCTTGCAAGTCTCCTAATAGCTTTTTTCGAGATTATTACATATTTATTAATGATAATTTGTACAATTGAAATGGTTAAATACGTCAATTCACATTCTGGATTTGACGAAAATTTGAAAATAATGGTTAAACAATTAACAAAAACGTTAATAATTCTGGTATGTTTTAAATTAATTCTGAAATTGTACATATTATGAGGAATGTTTCTTGAGAAACAGACTTTTATGACACGTTAGTTCAGAATGGTCATATGTATAATAAAAATAGGCATTTTTAAAATCAAAACATAAGATTCGAATAATTATATCAATAGAAACATGTAAAAATGCTAAATTAAAAAGTTGTGTAAATTATAGGATGGGAAGGATTCAAAAAAATGTCACGTCAGTTTCGGGTCAACAAAAGTCCGGGTTTCTGGTCGGGTCGTGTTCGTTAAAAAAAAATTTTATTTAATATGCAAGTAAATATGAAAAATTTTAAATTGGCAATTTCTCGGATCGGGGTTCGACACATTCTCGGGTCGGGATTTGGATCGTAAAAAAGACAGGTTTCGGGTTCAGGTTATTTTCTGATCTTTTTTAAAAGATTTTTAATAATTTAATTATATTTATTTAGTCTGTTGTGCCACTCGTAAAACATGCCGAAATTATTATACTTATATTAATCATTCAAACAAACAACAATACGGCAAACATTATTCGATTATTTTTTTCTCATTGGTTTCATTTTACCCCCGTATTTAACTCAATTGTTTGCATATTAACAAACAAACCATATCGAAATGCTGTTTTTAAGAATATAAAAATATTTCCACAATAATTGTAAAAGTGTGCCCGGGCCGGGCTTCCGCGCTAAAACCCTCGAAAACTCGGGAAACCAGATTTTATCAAAATATCCAGTTTAGGGCTACCGAATCCGGAAAACCCGGTCACGTGCCTGGCTCGGGCTCTAGCTCTAGTTATTTTCTGAAATTTTTAAATAAATGATTATGAAGAAGTATCTAACATGAAGAAATAAATATTAGTTTAAAAGATAACATATACCGTATAACCTGTATTAATTGCCCTCCCTCAAATAATTACCCCACTTTCATTTATTACCCAATCCAGCGATGGATTGCAACAATAATTATCCCCAAACAAATGCCCTAAAACACGTTAAAATTTCAAACCTCGTATAATTACCCTCCTTCGAATAATTACTCCCTCCAACGGAAGGTCGAAACAATTATTACCCAGGGTAGTTATTAAAGGATATACGGTAATGTTTAAATTATGTAATAGAATTAATTCTGATTTCTAATCTCTAAATTTGTGATTTCGGTAATAATTTAAACATTAATAAATTTTATAAACAATTATAATTAGTTAAGTGCGTGGGTATATGTATCAAAAAGTTGGCTACATTTTTATAAATTTCTTAGAAAATTGTTAAAATAAAAATGTAAACAAAATTTTCTCAAAAATATTTTTTTGTATTTTTAAAGGTTATTAGCGTGAAACATTTTAATAGTAAAAAAATTTTTTTTATTAATTTTACTATATCTGACTATAAAACAATGTAAAACAATATGAAACAATGTTTCTAGAAAGAGAAAGTTAACAATATTTTTGTTTATTGGAAGAAGTAACGAAATTCAAATTCGTACCTTGTAAGTATGGTACGAATTGGGATTAAAATATAAATTTCTGAAGGCAAAAATATCTCACGATTTTAATAAAAAGCAAAAAAATTTTCTCATAAAAAGTTTTTATATTTAAATATTAAAGTAAATATTTTCAAATATCGGTGCTGTTTATTGTCTCAAGTACACCAAGTCAGTCGTCAATGTAATAATACATATCTTACGAATTAATTAAAATAAAAAATTTTTCTCAAAAATATTTTTTGTATTTTTAAGAGTTATTTGTGTGAAACATTTTATTGAAAATATTTTTTTAAATTAATTTTACTTTATTTTACTATACTTTTTTTTAAAAATTAAAATAAAAATATGCCTGATTTAATTGATATTTTATTTAAATTTGATTATTGGGGGTGTTTATTACTTGGTTATCCTCTAAACATTATTCTGATTATTTTAATTATTTTTAAAACACCAAATGAAATGAAAACACACAGCAGAATTCTGATACAAAATTGTGTTTTGGATATTTCATTTTTGACGGCTCAAATGTTTATACAACAGGTAAAACTTTTAAAGAACCAGAATTAATTTAAAACATAAATAAATACGAGCAATTTTAATAAAATCATTTTTTCTTCTAATTCTAACTTTAAATAATTTACAAAACTGGTGGGATTACACCCCTTCCGAATTTTAAAATAGCCCATTCTGATGGATACCAATAAAAATAAGTAATATTTTTAAACATTAAGTTTCATTTAAACGACATAGACGACAGTTTGGTCTTTATTTTTACTAATGGCATATAGTAAAGCGGTTGGTCCCGTTTCCCAGTGCCTTCTAAGTGGGGTTGTTAGATTGGAGTTTCGCAAGCGTCCTTGAGTGAACTCCGCAGAGTATAGAATATAGGCAAGCGCTGGATATAGGGGAGTTCCGGATCGGGAGACGTCTTCCCTCCGGATCGACACTAGGCTAGCTGTTATTTAATACTTCCTTCACCGGCCGGTGGAATAATGCTGCACAATAATTGAAGAGAAGATTAGTCGACTGAACCCTTTTTCCTTATTCTCTCAAAGCTTTTATTGCTTGCACAGTCATTCCTAGAACCGCCTTAAGGCAAAGTGAATATGGCTAATGCGATCAGGGGCCTATTTCAATTGTCCACAGATTCTGCATTCTGTGCACAGAACACAGATTCTGTGGAAATTCTGTTTCAATTAAATTCTGTGTGCACAGAATCTGTGGTGCCCGCAGATTCTGCGGAAACATCCAATGATTCTGTGGAAACATTCCGCAGATTCTGTGGATGAAAATTTCTGTGGAAAATATAAAAATCTGTGGATTTTTTCCACTGATCCACAGAATTTGTATTTCAATTATTTTTCTGTGGTTCTGTGTATTTTTTCTTCTAAATTCAAATTTTTTATTTCCGCGTTTTTGAAAATAACAGTTTTATTGAAACGAAAAATGGTTTGGACAGTTCGGTACTACCGCAGTATTAATGGTACCTGATTTTTTGAAGTAAAACTTTAAAAATTCTTAAATTAAACTGAAAAATATTGTAAAGATTTAAAAATTTTCCCTCCAAATCACATAACATCCCTTTAAATCTCTTTGATATCACTTTAAAACCGCTGATATACCGCTTAATTTTCTTGTTCATCCAATATCCTTAAATCTCCAATTAAATTAATGTCCTAAAGCAGGGTTCGGATCGGAAAAATCAGGAGATGTCGATCCGACATGTGGCTTTTTCAAACTACGATAGAAGTTGTTGCAAGGGAGGGAAATGTTTGGGGATTGTTTAGTCAGAAATTGAGGTTCCTGGAAATCGAAAATGCCTGGAATCCAAAATTATAGTCAAATCGGAACTTTAAAATCGTAGAGGAGTGATTAAGTGGGATATCCATTGATTTTGAGGTTTAATATATTGGAGTGATTAAGGAGGAAATCTATCATTAAATAGGAGGAGAGATTATGACGGATATCAATGAGAGATCATGGGAGATATCCCAGTATACGCTATACAGATATATTCTATAGATCCTGGTAAACATCCCCTCATTAGAGATATCCATGATGATTAGAACATCATAGCTCTAAATTTCAGAATCTCTCACGTTTTTTATTTTTTTATTGCTTGAATATAACAAAAACTGCGTAAAAAAGATGTACCTTTTTCAAAATTAATTTTAAGCAATAATTTTAGGTAATAAAATTATAATTTTTATATCAAAAAATAGAGAATGATTCAAACTTTAATAATCTTTAAAAATTTTGAAATTTGGTTAAGCCTAGGCCTAGAAAAAAATTGTTAAAGTTTTTCCACAGAAAGTTCGCAGAAAAAATTTTAGGGTGGATTTTTTAAAGAATTCTGTGTATTTTCCGCAGACCACAGAAATAATTGAAACAGAAATGCACAGAATCGACTAAAAAAGCCACAGATCTGTGGATTTTTTTCTGTGCACAGAAAAATAATTGAAATAGAATTCTGTGGTTTTTGCATGTTTTTGGATGTTTTGCAGAATCTGTGGATGTTTCCACAGATTCTGTGCATGTTTCCACAGAATCTGCGGACTTCTTTTTCCGCAGAATCTGTGGAATAATTGAAACAGAATTTCTGTGGTTCTGTGGTCTGTGCACAGAACGCAGACCGCAGAATCTGTGGACAATTGAAATAGGGCCCAGATAAGCGATCCTATTTGCTCTCCGAGAATGGCCGTTTGTGCTATACTTTGGATCGCTCTGGGAACTTCCGTTACTTAGCGCAAAGTTCAGAGCGCCATTATTGTTCACGTGATTTTAGGATGGACTTGGCCTTACACCTCTAACCCTCCAATAGACCGTCCCTGGTCGTCTTTTTTACTGATTAGTCTAATTTTGTTCACAAAATTTTGGGTCTTTAAAAATCTGTTTTTGGGCGAATTTAACCTCCAGCGCCTCTAACCCTCCAATGGACCGTCCCTGGTCCTCTTTTATATTTAAATTTTATATTAAATAAATCCCTAAGCATATAATCTCTTTTTTTTTTTTATTTATTTATTTAAAAAATGTAACATAAGAGAATCCCGCAGGATTTATAAATTTAGATTTAGATTTGTAATTATGTGTGCTTTTCTTTTGTAAAATTTCATGTCCTTGGTGCCAAATTTTGAGTTCCCAGGCAAAATGAAGTGAGTGTTGACTTTTACTCCATTTGGGATTTTAACACTTCTAATCGTAGTTAGTATTTTTTGGCCAGCTTCAATGTTTTCAAATTCGAAATTTGTTTGATGTCTGATGATGTGTGCTTCGTTGCTTGAGTTTTTAGAACTGGCCCATAAACTGTGTATTTTTTTTGTCTTGCTCGATCTATTTCCAATTTTATTGATTCTTCCTTCGGTCTCTTTTTCTCTTGCTCGATAAAGTATATGGTGAATTTTTGCAGACCCTTGAACTGATAACAAATTTGAAGAGTTTTTGATAATCCATGAATTGTTAGGACCGCAGTCCGTTAAATTTTTAAATCTACAATCCAACTGTAAATCCTTTATTGTAAATATATCTCCAATGTTAATTACATGTTCTAAATGATCATTAGGGATTAATACAAAATACGGGTAGTGATTAGGTTCCATCGCCGCTCCAACGATTCCTCTAGTTTGGATCTGTGCCACCAAATATTTTGCTTTTCCTAAATTTGATTTTTTAAACTAATTTAGACTTGAGATTTTATTTAAAAAAATTTTTTAAACCCGCAAGTTATTAAGCTTTTTTGTGAAAAAAAAGGAGTAAGAAAAACATTTTTGAAAAAAAAAATTTTTTTTTTTTTTTAATTAATAACATTTATTTTTATTTAATTGTATTTATTTTTTTTTAATTTAGATGAACCCCGCAGGGTTTTATGATACAAAAAAAATTTACTCACTGGTTTGTTGTTCTTCTTTAATTAATTTTTCTCTTAATTTAGTAAGTATTTCCCCCATCCAATTCTGTCCATATTTTTTATTTTCGGGTGTATAATCCTTCAACTGTTGTTGTTCATGTTTCTTATATCCAATGCCCCACCGTTTATCCGGCGAGGCCTCTACAATATAAAGTCCATCTGTTGCTTTTAGGAGCTTCTTAAGATATTCATTCTGCCTAAATTTCTGCTCCACAATTGCTTCTATTAAGTCTTTTTCCATTTTTGTTGTTACTTTGCTCCTGTTGTAAGGTGTTGCTTTAGTAAGGCCTTCGGCTCCATACCACTTCAGTTCTCTGGGATGGCCGTCGCCCCATTTGTTGTTAGTTTGATTAGGCGTGTGCATGTGTACGAATGTCATGGCCTCCGCTGCCATTGAGTGGAGTTCTAATAATCTGAGTCGTTTTACTACAAAGGCCATTTCAACACATGAAAATTTTTCTCCAGACATCTCAATTTCAGAATAAAAGAAGTTGGAGAATGGGTCTGTTGGGCCAAGAAATGCAATTAGATGTTTCCCAGAATTTAATTTGTGGATGCGCATTTCCCCCAAATTAAAATTGTTTAATTTAGTGAACCCCGCAGGGTGTAAAGAATTTTGTTGTTGATTTGGTTGTTGTTGCATTTTTTTTTAATTAATTAGTCAAATTAAAATAAAATTTTTGATTTCTGAAAATTAAAAAAAATTTGAAAATTAGAAAAACATTGAAGAGGAAAACAATGAAAAAATTTTTTTTTTTTTTTTTTTAGAGATCATTAATTATGAGGCAACAACTAAAGTTTGAAAAAAGATTAAGAGAGTGGAGCTAGTACAGAAAGATGTGAGAGAATTGAAAGATTATAAGATAAGCTATAGATTGAGGTACCTAGTCAGAGAAGTTTTTTCTTCTTGGCTTATTTCTAAGACCATACTTTGATTTTCCCTGCCTTTCAAGTATTTGAGGAGTATTATTTGTTTCAGGTTCGGTTCCTGGGTCCTGTGTTTTGTTAAGATCTTCTGTGGGTAGTGATATAGGGGTTTGTTTATCAGATGTTTGTGTTTGGGTACGATTTGAGTGTGAATAACCGGGAACATTAACTTGTTCTTGCGCCTGACTGTTATCTAAGGCTTCTTTTTCCGATTGTGGTAGAGAATTTTGCGTATTTGGTGGACCAGATTCCTCATAATATTTCTTTATTTGGTTTATATGTACTACACGAGGGTTCGATTGAGGCGAGGTGCAACTTAAAATCGTTACTAGGACTCCATCTATTTTAGTTACACGGAATAATCCCTTCCAGGGCATGTGGAACTTCTTAGATGTTCCTACTTTCCCTGTATAGTTGCGAAGGAGTACCCTATCCCCCACTAGAATGGTTGGGTTACGGACTAATTTGTCGTATTGTGTTTTCGCTCTTAATTGTGTTTCTTGAATGACTGCCGCAGCAGATTCCCATGCTCTACCTAAAACATTAACTAATTTTTGTTTAAATTCATTCACTTCAATGGGACTTTCTAAATCAATCTTGGGGTCGATTATTTGCTCTATGCAAAATATCGGGTCCCGCCCATACATAAGAAAGAAGGGTGTCTCATTGGTTGAAGCATGAGTGGATGTGTTATAGCAAAAAGTCGCGCACTCAATATATTCATCAAAGTCAGGTTCGTCCTTGGAAAGATATTTTGACAGAATATTGTGAAACGTTCTGAAGGATCTCTCCACTACTGGGTTACCTTGGCTCCAATGGGGAGTGGCGTAGCATTTATTAATATATAAGAGAGAGCAAAATGACTTGAAAAAGTCCGAAGTGAATGCTGTCGCATTGTCAGTTAAAAGATTTGTGCATCCTCCAAATTTGAGGTAACAATTTTTGAAAAAGGCCATCGCAATGGTTTTAGCTTTTGCATCAGGAAGGGGAACAGAAATAATATATTTAGTGAAAGTACATATTATATTTAGAAGGTGCTTATTTCCTTTTTGTGTGAGAGGTAGAGGGCCTGCAAGGTCTAAAGCAATTTGGGCAAACAAAGTATTTTTGGGTGGCATTTGCATTTCAGCACGGTAAGCAGGGTTAGGTGAGTGCCTAAGCTGGCATGTAATACACAACTTCGTCCAGTTAGCAATGTCTCTATGCATCATTGGCCAATAAAATTTCCTACATTTATTAAGTGTCTTTTTGAGATTCATGTGCCCCCCGGAAAGTACTGAGGTGTGGAAGGCTTCAAATATTAATGGCCTTAGGGACATAGGTATATATATTCTTGGGACTTGGCCTTGCATTTGTTGGTGGAGTATACCCGAAATCATAGACATGTTTTCGGATTTCGATGTTATTTCTTCTTTATCATTTTCAGTGATTCCCGCAGGAAATGTTCCGAACTCGAGGAATTCGATTAACAATATTGTTTCGGGGTCTTGACCTTGCTCCCTACGAATATCAATTGAGAACATTTTGCCTTCTATATCACGCGCAGTGAGATTTAAAATAAATTGTTCGTGAACCACTCGTGGTTTAAGGCTTAAAGATAAACATACAGGAAAGTTTGCTATGTCCTGAAGTTCACTCAGATCTTTAATTGCCGTCTCAGGAATATTTTCTTGTGGGAATCGTGAGAGTCCATCTGCTAACAGATTTTGTTTACCAGCTACATGAATTATTTTTATGTTGTAATTCTGCAGCTCGATTAACCATCTAGCTAGATTGGGATGTGCGTCTGACTTCTTCAAAAGGAATGCCAGAGGTTTGTGGTCACAATGAAGTTCAATTTCTGCCATGAAAATGTAAGGTTTGAAAGTTCTAAGAGCAAAAATAATTGCTCCAAGCTCTGCTTGAACTGCTGGCCATCTACGTTCAGACATAGATAGTGTTCGACTGCAATAGGCAATTGCGTCAAATGTTTTATTTTCTTCATTCTTTTGCATTAAAGCACCACCTTGTCCAACAGTTGAGGCATCTGTAAAGATGTGAAACGGTTTTTCATAGTCGGGAAAAATTAGAACCGGTTCTTGAGTTAAAATTTCCTTAATTTTATTAAAAGCATTGTTTTGCTCCTCACCCCACTCAAAATTCTTTTCCTTTTTTGTAAGCCTAGTTAGTGGTTCTACAATTGTTGAAAAGTTAGGAATGTGTTTACGAAAAAAGGATGCCATTCCTACTACATGTTTGACTTCCCTTACTGTTTTTGGGTTTGGAAGATTTTTAATTACTTCCACTTTTCCTAGACTTGGGGTGTATCCATTTGAGTTGACTATATAGCCAAGAAAGTTCATGGTCGCCGCAGCGAATATACATTTTTTGGGGCTTAATTTAAGATTAAACCTACGAAAGCGTTCGAATACGCTTTTTAGTGAACCCAAGTGTGTCTCAAAATCATCGGGCTTAGTGAAGACTACTATGTCATCCACATAAGCTACTACACAATTATCTAAACCACTTAGGACATGGGCCATGCAACGAGCAAAAGCGCTTGTGGCATTTCTTAATCCAAAAGGAAGGTTTATCATTTGGTAAATTTTATCTTCAGTTATAAGTCCACACTTCCTGGATGCATTTTCAGTTAGTCTAATTTGTAAATACCCACTAGACAGGTCTAGACTCGAATAATAGTGACAATTTCCAATTCGATCCATTATGGCTTCCAACCTAGGGAGGGGATAGTGATCGGGTATTGTTACCTCATTGAGCTTCCTGAAGTCGATGCAAGGGCGTAGTCCTCCATCCTTTTTCTGGACTAGTACAATGTTTGAGACCCACGGTGTGTCAGACTCGATCATGACACCTGAGGCAAGGAGTTGATCAATATGCTTTTGGAGCTCATCGTGGTACTTGAATGGTGTTTTGTGTGGTCTTGAAGATACAGGTGTTTCAGAATTTGTAATTATGTCATGTTCACCTGCTGTACAGGACCCTAAGTCGTACTGACTTTTACTGAATATATCATTAAATTCTTCGCAAAGACTTTTCAATTTATTGAGATTTTCCCCTGATACTGAGGATTTGGCAAAATCAATTTTAAATGTGGGATCTATTTCGACTCTAGAATTCTTTAGTGAGTCCCGCAGGACATTAATTTCATTGGGCGAACCTTCCAGAAATATTTCAGGATGTTCTGTAGTTCGTATTTCGTCTGCACTTGCTAAGCATGTGCGTTGTGTTAAAGTTATCAACATGTTTGTGGGATTACAAATAATCAGATTTATTTCATTATTGTTAGGTTTCGATACTGTAGGAATGGTACAGAGGTTTTGTTCCTCAAGTCGGGAGTCCAGAGTTTCTATTAATACCTCTTTTTCCGAATTTTGGGCATTATCGATTTTAGCTCTTATTATTTTTTGTGTCCCCGGTAATATTTTATAACTTTCTAGAGCTCGGACCTTCAGGTTGTATTGTTGCTTATTACTAGTTTCCATGGGAAGTGAGTCATTTCCGACTTTAAGTATCTCATTGTGAAAGTCAAAGGTTATTGGGGGGATTCTAGCAAAAATATCGCTCCCCAAAATTACTTGGTACCCATTAAGAGCTTTTGCTTGGTCATCCGATACAAAATGAAGTGGACCCCTCAGGGTGATTTTCCCGATTTTGAAATATACTGTGGCTGTTGCTAGTATTTTCATAACATGAGCTGAAACACTTAGTGCTTCAATGTTGGATGTTCGTGGGTTAGTATTTAATTTGTGAGATAGAGAAATAGGGGCAATCGATATTGTAGCTCCAGTGTCGGCAAGTGCTTTTACAGATATGTCATTTATTTCTATTTTTATTATTGCCGTGATCGGTGTAGTGGGTTGAGATTGCGTATAAAATAAGGTTGTAAAATGGATAACTAATGCAATTATTATAGAGACTACAAACACTGAAAGTAGGAGTGAGTCCTGAGAGGTTTGAATTGGTTCAGTTCTGATTGGCGCCGCAGCTGCATTTGGAACTAGAATGAGAATGACCGCAATAGTAAGCACCGTAGAGGAGATAGTCTTTCTCAGTTGCCTATGGGTTGGGGAGTTGGCATTACCTCGAGCTAGTACGTTCATTTGAGTCAAAATGGCTTTATAAATGGAAATTTGTTCCTTATTCCACTTGATGGTTTCGTCCCCGGATGTTTTGTTAATTGGGTCTATGATCGTATTGAAATTTGGGATTTCTTTTCCAAAATGTGTGGCTTTATCTAAAAAGTGTGTTAAATCCCCGGAGTTTTGAGGCAATTTATAAGATGGCTTTTTGCTTATTGGGTTTGAGAGAAATTCATTAAGCCAGTCTAGGAATTCATTCCCTTTAATTATTTGAATTTTTGTGGACTCCTCAGAGTTTATTTCAGATTCTTGATTGGAAAAAGATTGAGTAAGCTCGTCAATCAATCTTTCTCTAATTCCACAGGATGTACTTTGTTCAGGGCTACTTGATTCCGTTTTAGTTAGGTCCTGTAGCTCAGTCGTGCTCCCCGTTTTCATTGGTGATCGTGTTCTTTTGGAACCAAACCGTTTGGTTATGCCGTTGATTAGGGGTCTGCCTATAGCCATTATGGGTCCTTGAAGTCTTACTCCCATGTAAGCAAATATGAGTCGAGCTACTAGGTCCCCAAGGCAAATGATTAGACATATTGTTACCGCATTTCGCCAAAGAGTCGAATAATTTCCAACAGCCTTTTCAATAATTGCATTTTCTATTGCAGACCATTCATCAGATAATGTGGTTTTTGTTTCAGATGCCTCATTTTTGTCTATTTTGTAGGTCAATTGACTTATTTGCACTAAGTTTGTTGCAAAGGTATGAGTTGCTAAGTCAGTTAAATTTAAAAGAACCAAGTGATGAAATGCATGAGGAGCTAGTTTTGGAATAAATGATTTCATTCCTAAATCAAGCTCTGCTTCATTTAATTTATTAATGTGAACACTTTGTATCCCCCCTTTAAGTTGATCCACCTCAAAGATATTTTCAGAGGTTTGGATAAGAATTTTTTGATATTCCTCGCAAGGTGCTAATTTAGAGTGTAAGGAAATTGTTAAAGTGGATGGATCAAGAAAGGCTAATTGTTCTTTGTTATCTGTGTTTAATATTACTGGTAAAAATTCGAAACATGTATTATTTATACGCGTTGGATGAAATTGGTATTCAGAGTGGCTTAATGGCACGCATGGCCAAGTCTTTAAAAGTGAAACCCCAGCTTTCTTTGCTATTATAAAATTGTTCTGGTGAATGAACCTCGCAAGGTTTGTTGGGTTACTTAGGTAGGAGGCTTCTATCCACCTTTGTGTGTCCTTAAGGAAATCACAAAATGTGTGGAACGCTTGGGCAAAGGCAGTATTTACTGAATTAGTCAGGTTTGCTTGAAGATATGTGAGTTGAGCCGCGAGCTGAGAGGAACTGACAGCTCCTTCATATATTACATTAAATAGGTCCCTTTTATTTCTTTTCTCAAAAGTAATCACGTATGCCGGTCCCTGGTCCGAGACCGTAAGATTTTTCCCGCAGTCATATACCTTTCTTTCCAAGTGAGAGCTCAGTCCAATTTCGCCTAAATTGGAGACCCAAATATTTCCTAAGTTATGTCCTAGCATTGCTCCTATCATTTTGTATCTGCACATTTTATTTAATTCAGGTTCCCAAACAACAACTGTGTTGTCATTTAGAGTACAGAAACCTTTGCTATAGTGACAATCATGAGTGGCTCCCGCAGGAGTTATAATTGTTTTCGCCCCGAAGTGTGAGTACACCTCGGTTTCATACGCATAACAATTTTCAATTTGTTCTTTTTTCCAAGAAAAGGAACCTAAGAGCCATGGCCGTGGAGTTAAGTCTATTTTCCTATTAGTGTGCCATAACCCTGTTTCATTTTGGAGGTTCCCCAAATCGCATCTTTTATTGTATGCCATTTGTCGGCATTCTTCAGGCCTTATTGCAATAATTTCCGAATTTAGATTTTGGGTTACCGGGACCCCCGTTAAACTAGTGTATTTTTGTACAATTTTATTCACTTTTCTACACGCCCAGGCTTTGGTTGAATACTCTAATGGGTTTGAGACATAAATGATTCGCTTCTGTTTCGTAGGTGCTTTGCTTGTGTCTAGATCTATTTTTGGGCATCCCGAAAATTTAGGAAGCGACCAAATCATTGGCTGTAAATGAGTTTGACAAATCATGGGAGCTGAAGGAACCGGAATAAATTCTTTGCAATTTATTGTGGGTGCAAACATACTTAAGGCAAGTAATGTGAATATAGGAAGAAACTTTGGTCCTATTTTGGGTTCCCAACTCGAGATTTTGTTTTGTACATTTTTTTCAGTTGAATTAAGTTTAGAGGCAGCCGCAGCTGATGGTATATCAATTTTTTGTATGGAATTAATTTTTCGTGTGTCTGCCTCAGCAGTTTGTTTGAACGCCAACTTCTGGACTGAGTTAGCGATCTGATTTATTTGACCCTGCAATATCCTATTTTGGTCTTCTAATACTCTTATCGAGTTTCTTGGTTGGGTAAAATCACTGCGTCTCTTGAAGCAGTTAAAAGCCAAGTGCCCTACCTTTTTGCAATAGTTGCAGACTGGACGATTGTTCCACCGCTTGTCTTGCTGTGGACCTCTATTCCAGTTTGTGATGCGTGGATTTCTCGGTCGGTTACTGTACTGTTGTCCGGATTGCCAGCTACGATTTCCACTATTTTGAAATCTGTTGGGACGACCGAGGGGTTGTCTGTTTGGATTGGTTGGCGCCCAAGTCTTAAAGTTCCCATTTGGGTAATTTGGAGGGCTCTTGTATTGAAATTGTGGTACCGTATTGTCTTCGACTTGACAGATTGGATAAAAGCTGGGTTTCGGATTCACACTTAGCATTATTTCTGCCTCATGTGCGTTTAATTGTAAGGTATCGAAATCTTTCCTATTTGGCCCTGTTAAGGTCCTTGTGAGAAATTGGAGGTTCGGAGTTAATTTCTCTAGGAAAAGCCTACAAAGAATTTCTTCCGATGCCTTACCAGTTTGGTCAACGGTACTTGCTTCTACCAATGGTATTAATCGAGCGGAGAATTCATCTACAGATTCTCCTTCTTTTTGTCTACAGACGCTTAAGGCTTTATAGGTCAATTCGCGATTTTGCGTTGTGTCCAAACTTTCATGTATTTTCTTAATGGCTCCCGCAAGAGTTGTCTTATTAGCCTCAGAGATCTTTTCAAAGATTCTCCGAGGTTTCCCATCTAGACAGGCTTTTAAGCGTGCGATCTTTTCTTTTTCATCCCACTTCCCACCATTGCAATCAATTAGGTCATTAAATTTCCTTGCCCAACGTTCAAAATCAAGAACTGAGCTTCCTGAAAAGATAGTAAATGACGGGAAATTTTCGGCTGAGAGCATGTTAATTTTGTGGAATCCCTCAGGATTTATTTCAAGTGGTGCAGCTTCTTCTGTCCTATTTTCGCGATTTGGGCGATTGGGTATTGTATTTAGTGCGGGCTGAGCTGCACGATTTGCGACTGGAGTTTCAACCACAATCGAGTTATTATTTACGTTTTGCTCAAGGTTTAGTGTATTTATGCGTGCCGATAATTCGCTAGTTTCGTCAGTTAATGTTTTTATATCGCGTGAATTTTGATTTATTCGCCTATTGAGAACGCGAGAGAGTCTATTGACTCCATCCTCGGTTCTGATTAAATTCTTGTGGACATTATCCACATCCGAAAGACGGGCCGTTGTGCTTAAAATTTTCTCATTAAACAATTTTCTGTCCACTACAGTGAGACTCAAGTCACCAATATCGTTAATGGCTCCCTCAGGAGTTATAATAGTGTTGTTGTCCCTGGAGGAATTTGTGGATCCCTCCTCATCGGGAAGTAAAGGCATTTTGAATCACTCGAGATTTAGATTATAAGGCAATAGAAATGAGAAAAAAAAAATTTTTTTTAAGCTAAAAATAAATAAATAATTATTGGATGATAAAAATTATTTGATGAAAAAAAAATTTCGAAAATATTCATTAAAGTTTTAGAAAATGAAGAGTTAGACTAAGGAATTATAGGTTAAATTTTAAAAATAAAAGAGGATTTCAAATTAAAAAATCAAAAGATAAATGATAATTATTTAAAATGTTGTAGATGTGAAGAAAGGGAGACGAGGCAAAATAAAAATAATTAAAGAGAACAAAAAAAAAAAAATTTTTTTTTAAATAAAATAATTTAAAAATAAATAATAATTTTTAAATAGAATAGTTAAAAGAAAATAAATGTTTGTAGAGATAAACCAGGGATAGGGAAAGAAAGGAGAAGATGAAGCCTATAGTTAAAATAAATGATTGAATTTGCTATTAATTTAGTCTTTATATTTGATTTAACGCTCCACCTTTTCTCATAAACTAAAAAAACTTTTTTATGTTCAGCTTGGGAAAATCTTTGTTTGTTATAATTTTACATTGTGATTGTTTATCTTAGGAGTGGGAAAAAAAATTTTTTATTGTGATATTGACTTCCGCCTTTTGTAAAACTTTTCTTGTGAGAAAGCAATTTTTCGAAGGGATTTATTATCCTTTTTTTTTGTGAGAAGTGATTGTTGTAAAGTGTGGAAAAGAAATTTAAAAAAATATAAAAAAATTTTTTCTTAGTTTAAAACTTTGCTTAAAGTATACTTTGTTCTGGAAAAAAAAATTACTAAATCGCGATAAAATAATGTGAGGAAAAAAGAATAAAATTAAAAAAAAATATTTTTTTTCTAGGGATTGAAATAATGGAAAAAAATAAAAATGTAGAGGAGAAGTTCGAGGGATTTTTGTACTCTTTAAAGGGCTTAAAAGTAAAATAAAGGATTTCTGAGGGTTCTCTAGCGACCTTATAATTTTATTTGTACATGTTTTTTTTTTAATTTACTCGCGAGTTTTGGAGTCACGGGTAATATTTAAAAAAAAATTTTTTGAAGAACGGAAAAATAATCTGTTTTTTTTTTTTTTACTTACTTTAATTTAGTTAGTAATATTCTGACATATTCTTCGGAAAGTATATTTGTAAGAGTCAGTAATTTCCAAATTTGTAATTAAATCCATAATTCAAAAATATGTACAAAATTTATACACCGCAACTAATAAAAAGTTGAATGATGCTCAGAGAATCCAGAATGTATGTACAGAAACTCTTTTTGATAGACTAGAAGAAGACAAAAAAAAATTTTTTTTTTTACCCAAATTGACTACTTCTAATGTTAGAGATACCCAGCCGAGGTGGGTAGGACCAGTTAGAGGTGTCGGAAATTAGAAAAGCCGGAAATCGGAACTTGCTCATAGGTCGGAACTTAGAAGTCGGAAATAAAAAAAAATTTTGGAAATCGGAAGTCAGAAATCGGAATTCCGACCCACCTCTGGCAAATATCAGTAATATCAGTTTCATTTTGGTAAATATCGGTTTCACTTTGGGAACTTTTCTGGCTATTTGTAAAAAATTCATTTTCGGTTTTCTAAAATTCACAAACCTTTAATTTCATTTGTCACATTAGAGTTTAACCAGCTCCATAATTACTTCCCTCAGGATTTAATTTTTCAAAATCTTCATCTATTTTTTTAACATGAAAGAGTCCCGCAGGACTTATTTTTGAACCATGAATTAATAATATTATGTATATATTTTTATTTAAATATTTACAAGTTTTTTTTGAAATTTTTGTGAGTCCCGCAGGACATATATCCGTTTAATAATTATTTCCCTTTCCTCTTTGCCTTTTAGGGTTGCCAGCGTAATTTAGCCATTGGCCATCAGCTCCCCTGCGCCCTCTTCCTCTATCTTCCCTCCTTGCAGGACTACGAGAATTCCCGGAGGTTCCACTACCAGAGGGTCCGGCCTCATTAAGAGCAGGGAAGTGCTGGAATCTGAAGGTCGGTCTTGTTGGCTCTTCCGGCGGTGCAGGGAGGTCCATCCTGTCCAGTCTTAAGCCATGCTTGAGGGCCCATTCACCTAGGAAACCTTTGTCTTCTACGGTGCCTCTGAGACTCTTGTCATACAAGTCGTCTGAAGTTGATGACCTTTCAAGTGTTCCACCCAAGAGACCACTCACATATTCAGATTTCACTACCCTGGTTCTCGTGATGGCCTTCTCTAAGAAGCGTTTCCATATGGGTCCTTCAGAGATGGAAACTAGATCCCCAATTAGGAAGATGGCATGGCGCGCTCTCGAAAGTGCAACAGTGGCACGTTCATTATTTTTAAAGAAATGCATGTTGTCAGATTTCCCGGAGCCATGCTCAGCGTATCTCGACCTGGTCGTTACAATGATGGTCACATCGCATTCCTGGGCCTGATAAGAGTCCACCGTAAGCGTTCTGACTCCAAGCTCCCTCACTCTGCTCGCAATCTGCGTTGTTTGGTAAGTATACATACAGAGCACTACAATGCTCTTGCTGAACTGCGGTCCAAAGTGGTGAAGAAGTGCCTGAACTAGGAATTCAGCAACTTCCGTTTGGTGGTCATCCGTAAGGGAGTCGCTTTTCGAGTCCGTTCGGAATGAACTATAAGCATTAATGAGTCCCACAGGACATGATTGGATAGGGAGAAGGAATTCCGAGCTGGTCAACAGTGAACGCTCTTCCTCACTGCGTGACGGAATTAATCTTTCATCAAACAATTCGTAAGAAGCGTAGGAAATGAGCTGGACCAGGAATGGATGGCTTCTATACATTTTTGTCAGGAATGTGTAGTTTGCGCCAGGTGATATCTCCACCTGTTTGATGACACTTTCAAGGCCGAAGCCCTGCCAGAAAACCTCCGGGAGCTCAGCCAGATACACACCGAGCTGGTGACGATCCCCCGTCAGGAGGATCGCCCGAAGTTTGGGAAGACATGCCACCAAATGTACCACTACTGCCCACTGGGCTTGCGTACTTTCATCAAAAAGTAGCAGTTCAGTGTCGACAATATTCCCCTCACCCTCAAGGAAAAATGTAGCCATTGAAGCTGTGGAGAAGGTGATGTTCGGCCGCTCGAAGCTTTTATAAAGCCTTCCAATTTTTCTCTCTTGTGAAACCCGCGGGTTGTTAAGATAATTTTCCCTATACTCATCCACTTCTTTTTTCTGGGGTTGCTGCAATTTGCTCCGGAATGCCTCATTACTAATCTTATTGATAAGAGTGTGGCGCTCCACATCCCTGATTTGCTCATTATATTTTTCTTTCGCCATCGCAGAAAATAATGCGAGAGACTGCATATCCTCCAACTCTTCCTCTCCACAAGTTTCAGCAGTCTCTTGTACCAATTTCACAACAGGAATATTTGAGCAAGCCATGACCGCTATTTGGCCCTCAGGCCGAAGGTCACGCCAAGCTTTGACAATAGCCGCGGCGACTTTGGTTTTTCCAGTTCCCGGGGGCGCTTGTTGATGAACAAGCCCCCCGGTCATTAGCAGTCTTGCTGTTACCCTTTGGCGACCATTGAGGGTTTGGATGACTGGATGGAATTCTTCATCATCTCCAGCCTGATCAGCTTGATCATTCACGTCATCCATGACCATTTTTACCCCCTCTCCTATAGGACGCCCTAGTAGTGTTGCCATGATATGACCCCTCGGGGAATTTTCAACTGCCATGGTGGAGGGGAAGTTGCATCGGAAGCATCGGACTCGGTCTTCTACCACCAGTGGAAGTGTTGGATGAATGACTACCAGTCCTCCCTCCAGGAATTTATTCAATTCCTTTCCTATTTCCTTATTCTTCCTTCCTTGGTCTATATTGTTTAGAATAATGACCACGTGCAGCTCCAACAGGTTTCTTTCCGAGTTGACAACATCAACTTGCCTGATGGTACCATAGCAGAGCCCTTTTTGACCCAGATTTTTGGAGATTTTAACAATTGCTTCCAGCTCCCAAGCTGCCGCGTATTTAGAAATTTCTTCCTTCGGGCGGGGGTTAAAACATATCAGGCACCTCCTTCCAGTGATTTCTCTTGCCCTCCCTTCAAAGCGGGCTTCAATCATCTTCTCTACCTCACGTTCCATCTCGATTTGAAGGGCGGAGCCGACGACGTGCTCGGCGCATTTGAGATAATCTTGTGAAAGCTCCGCAGAGCAAGGGAAAACTTTTGGTGTGCCATTAATATTAGTGTTCGGCCACTCCAATAGATGAGGGTTTACTAATCCAACAGCTCCATAAATTTCAGGGAAGACTGCCAAAGTCTCTGTGCCGGCTCGAAACAGCGTGTTGGAAGGGAGAACATAAGTTCTAGAAATTAGTGAATCCCGCGGGATTTTTATACATGACACGTTTACCAACATGCCTTGAACAAGTTCCTGGACAGAAATCCCATTTAAGTGACGTCTGTTGATTCGCGCCGAGTGGGCAATGCCGCAGCAAGCCAACTCTGCGTACTGAAATGTTTCAGGGTCGTGTTGGGATCTGAACCTTATGTAATAGATGACGCCAGTGACTATCTGTCGCTCCTGATCGTCATAAATTATGTTCCCCAATTCTTCTGCATCGGCCTGTCTCGGTAGCAACTGGGTGGATTCGTTGAGCCAAAACTTCTTTGTTGAGGTTACCTCTTCCCTTGTGGCAGCTAAGTCCCTAAACTTTTCACTCCAAGCGAACCGGGACACCGACACTAAGTCTCCTACTTCTAATTTCCTTTGGAAGTCCGGATGACCATCAACGAGACTGTCCGGAATGTACATGAAGTACGGCCAGCGTGTATGGCGGTCAGCACTCTTCCTACAGGCAATTACATAGTCACCTTGGCCCTGGGCAACAAAGTACAATACGGCCAACTTGTCCTTGGTCACTATTTCATCAATTGCTTCCGGGAAATCAGGCCATGCGTCGTTACCAACATTGGCAAAGGCCTCGGAGGTTGAGGTTTCTTTCTCAATCTCTTCAAGAGCAACCCCAAGTTCTTTCATTACATTTACAGAACCTTCCTTAGAAGCAACCTCAGGGGACCCCGCAGGGTTTGCCAGGATGTCACTGTCACTAATATCACTCATTACTATTGAACGAGGGGGCGAGCTTCGAATTGCACTCGAAGAGCCTTCAATCTCCATACTTTCATTAATATTTATGGACCCCGCAGGGTTTTCAGAAGAAGTCAAATTATTAGAACCCCGCAGGGTATCGTCATTTCCACCTTCATTTCCACTCTCAAATAGATTATTGGACCCCGCAGGGTTTAAATTCTCAACGAGCCCCTCGGGGCTTTCTCCACGCTCGGGCTCAATAGAAATATTAGGGCGTTTTTTATTAGCTTTATTTTTTTTAACCATCTGAAATTAAAAAGAGAAGTTTAGATTATTGAGTAAATTCGCACATTTAAAATAAAAGAGAGTGTAGCAAGGCTGGGCTTAAAAAAATAAAAAGCGAAATGCGAAATGCGAAACTTTTCGCGCCAAAGAATGCGAGAATGCGAAAGATGTGAAACGCGAAAATGCGAAATAAACCCAGCCCTGGAGTGTAGGTCGAGTGGTATATTATTAGAAAAAGAAAATTTGAGACCAATTTTGCGGATTGTTGGTGGTCATTAATACGAGAAATATACACAAAAGTTAGAAATCATTCCTTAGAATTCACGCAGTTCGATTACATGTGAGTCCGATCTTACATTAACTCTTCTGGCTCGAGGGGGTCTGCTGCAATAGCAGCACATGACAAAAATTATAGTGATCGTTATTATTACCGAGAGTGTAAGCATTGACAAGGTGAGGTATTTGGTCTTATGAGATTCCCTTGTTTCTTTAATATTGTTGCAGAAATATCGGATTTGGAACTCTGGTGTCCTTGAGCCAAATAAGGGTATAAGTTTACATTGATTGAGGCAGTACTCGGTACAAAAATCCATTGAGGGAAAGGTACCCGATGTGATATCTGATTTCAGGTATCTGGCCTTGATTAGTCTTTGATCATCTTGGTAACTCGTCACAATGGGTATTAACACAATGAAAAAATACATTGAAAGTATCATGAGAAAGAGAAAAAAAAAATAATAAAGAAAAAAAATTTTGTGGTCACCTCGGTGATTTTAAAATAAATGTTTTTTAGCAAAAAAAATAAAAAATTGAGAGAGTTTATTAAATTGAATGTTTGATAAATTTTTAAAATTAAATTTAAACCCAAAAGGAGATTTAAATATAGATGTTTTGGGCGTGTCCCTGGTTAAATTCTGGTCCTTTGCTTTTTTTTTTTAATTCTTTAAATTCTCTAAAAAAAATATTTTTATGTAATTAATAACTCAAAAGTGTTTTGAAGTTTGGTTTTAACATAAAACAACAACAAAAGAGTGTAGAAAAGGAAAAAAAGGAATTTTAGAAAACAAAGAAATTCCAACAGAGCAAAAGATTTGTTTAAAATTGTTTCCGAATTTGATTTATTACATTTTTTAACTTAAAATTTTTTTGACTGTTACGTTCCTTTATTATCCTTTAGATTCACCCTTGGAGGCCAAATCGAAACGAAATCCCTAAAATAAGCTTTGTTATAGCGCGCATTTTCGAAATTTTGATATTGATTGTCATCCAACTAATTTTCTTTTGCTCTCTACGAACATTTAAGTTTAGTATTGAACAAATTTGATTTAGCCATTTGCCAGATTTAACAATTAATTTTGAGATTAGAAGGAACACAGAAATGTAAAAGAGTTTCTCAGTATTTGTGAGGGAGAAGCGGAGAGTGCTAAAAATACTTTAGAATTCATAATAAATTAACATCCACAATTATACTTTAAATAATTTTTATTTATACAAAATGAGCTGTGAAAAATTGGTTTTAGTTGAGAAATTTTCTCTATTTATTGCTTAAATAAATCCAAAAATTTTTTTTTGTAGGAATTTATGAAAATTTAGAAACAAAATTCTTTAAAATTCATAATAAATTGAAATCCATAATTATACTTCAACCAATTTAATTTATCACAATGTTAAAAGAGAATTTTAATAGAGAAAGAACAAAAGAAAATTATTTAATTTCCAATTTATTGAAAGGTGAATATTAGCTGATTGTTTATCGCAGTGAGGGGAAGTATGGCTTATAAATCTTGACACATTTTCTTTTCCCTTTCTCTCTTTTTTTAGTAAAAAAAAATTTCTCAGCATTTAATAAAAGCTTTGGGCATGGTGAAGAACTAAATTCCGATCAAGAGAAGGGGAAAAAAAATTTCGATTAATAGAATGGTGTGATTATAATTATCTTAGGAAAACGCCAGAACGCCAGGAGAGAGACGAAATCGGACGAGGAAACAGTAATATAGAGCGGAAGCGATCCCATCCCTGCTATACCGTAAAGAAAAGAAAAATTGCAAATACCGTATTTTCTCGATTAATTCCCCTGGAGAATTATTTTTTCAACCCGTCCGTGGCATGGGGAATTATTCGAGGGAGGGGAATTATTTGAGAAAATACGGTACATACATGAATATATTTATAAGCCGGATTTAGGAATATCCAGTAGAGAAAAGATTTTGAAAAGCCTGGACCTGTTCCTGGACTCTGGGTACAGGAAAAACTCAGGCCTTGGTCCAGGTCCAGCTCGATCCCTAATATCCAGTGGTATTAAGAATGTTCAGTAAATTGGTAAAGAAGAGATAGAATCTGAAGAATGTTTGACCATTATGTTCATTGTTAAGAAGAAAAAAGGTAAATTAAACTTAACTAATATTACCTAAGTTAGATTAGGAAAACCCGCAGGTTTGAATGAAAAAAAAGGTAGAATAAAGTAATGAATAACAGATACTTCGTTCGATGTCAATTCTACTATAGTCTCAGACTATCATGAAAAAAATAATTTCTTTATTTCAACCCAGAACTATTAGAAACAAGTGTTTACTGTTCTTAAGTATTTATTCTACCTTCTATAGGTCATTAAAATTGTTTAAATTGCAATACACTGTGAAGGTCTAAAAAATATTTTTATTCACAATGATGAACTGACATAAAGAATGTGTTTTTAACTCCTTTCCAAAACTTTTCCTTCCAAAAAAATGTTAATGTAATGTTGCATTTTATTAAATATTAAATCTAAAAGGAGGAGCAAAACACAATTTTGCATTTTGAGAGGGAAGAAGGAGAGAATTATGTATAATAAATATCTCAAGAAAGAAAGAAGAAAGAAAAAAAAAATTTTCTTTTTTTTAGAAAGTAGATCGGACTAATTGAAATTCGTATCTGAAATAAATAATTTAGATCCAAAATTTATTCCAAGACCTCTAAATTCAACCTTTAGCTTTTTTTTTTTAGTGGAAAGGAAAAGAGAATCGCAATACGTATATTCTTAAAATGTTGGAGAAAATTATTATATTAGGCCAATATTACTCTAGGATGATGAGAAAAATAAGGGGAAGAAATAAAACCATTAATATATTATTTTGGCTGAAAATAGTTGTGGCATAAAACAATCTTTAGATACTTGTAGAAATTATCTTAAGGGAGAAGTAGATAAAGAATATTTTTTTTTGAACAAAAGGAGGTTATGAAAAAAATTTAAGAAGTTCAAGATCTCACAGTAATCTGAACTCTCCAAACTATTTTCACTAATTTCCAGGGCTGTGCGCCAAAATTTTCTGGTGGAACGCCAAACGCTAGACGCCAATTTTTCAAATTTTTAAAGCACTCCAAACGCAAATCGCCAAAAATCGGCCAAAAATTGACGCCAAACGCCATGACGCTCAGCCCTGCCAATTTCTATTAATTTGTATTCTTTGCATTTATTTTGTAATTACAGTAAAAATGTCGGGGATCTATTATAACGTTTAAAAAACCAGATTTAGTGAAAACTGTTGCTGTTTTAGGGAATTGTTCTTCTTTTTGTTTTAATTTTAAGCAAATATCCTAACTATACTTTATTTTATAGACAAACTGAATTAGCATTTGACATTTACGTATTGTTGAGTTGCCACTAAAAGACGCTTTTTTTTTAAGGTGTAAAGGTCTCTTATAAATGTTTTTGTCCCTCTTTTATTTATGTATGCATAAACCCCTATATGTATATTTTACAAAATCCCCCCTTCTTTTTGCTTCTAAATATAAAGAAAAACGTTTTTTAAATGTTACATTACATAAATCAAGAGGCGAAAGAAATATTTTAAAAACTGTAGCAAAACATTTACTTTTTTTTTAGATTGAGAAACGGTTCTGTTAAAGGTTTTATATATACATTTAGCAAAAATAGAGATAGGAGCAATCAGATTAAAGGTCAAATTCAAACCGAATGACTATAATTCAAAGCATTCGATTTATTTGTTTTTTTTTTGATAGAGACCGGACTGTGAGTGTTGTTCGAGGATCGTACGAGATATCTCAAAAAGTCTCGAATCTCGAAAAGTCTCAAAAAAAGGAGAGAGAAAATTAGATTTTTGATCTACGGGAATTATGGTGTCTCGAAGAAACCTCGATCTCAATACTCCAGCCTTTGATTCGAGATCTCGTCCGGTCCGGTCTCTACTCTCAAATATTCAATTCCTCCCATCTCTGGTGTAATAAAAGCTTTGTAAATGATTGAATTAAAAAATGTTTTTAAAGAGTTTTCCACTAAAAAAAAAAGTTTTTAGAGAGAAATTAAATGTGTTTTGACGCCTGAAAAGAAAAGAAAATTAGAAGACATTAAAAATTGGAGAGAAAGAGAGAACATATTTTTTTTTTAAAAATATATTTCAACGAAGGAGTAAAATCTCTTTATGTTAGGATTATAAATAATTTTGATTTCAATGGACAAGTAAAAGGACCCCGCGGGGCATAAAAAAATAAAAATCTTTCCAACGGTCTCCCTCACTTATATATGATCATTAAAATGATTAAAATAAAATTAAAATAAAAATCATTAACATAAAACATTTGAGAGTGCTTGATAGAAGAGAGAAGTAAAAATAATCATTTGAGAGAAACAAGGCTAATAATAATGAAGGAATGAGTGTCATGTATGACTTAGAGAGAAAAAATTGCTATCCCAGTGAGGCATTACCGTATAAACTATATTAATTGCCCTCCCTCAAATTATTACCCTCTAGCGGAAGGTTGAAACAATCATTCCCCATGGTAGTTATTAAAGGATCTACGGTATATAATAAAACTTCAAAACACTTTTTTTTTACTTAATCCCTGGTAGTAATTTCAGATTTTTTTTGAGTTCTAAAAGGGTAAACTTGCAATGCCAAATTCCTGAGTCCCAAAATCTGACCAAATGCATTCATTTGCCATTGAAAACATTCATTTGCCACCAAGGACATTCATTTGCCACCAAGGATTTCAGATAATAGCACAAAAAAAGGTAAAGTGGAAGAAAAAAAGATAAACGGGAAAAAACAATTTCGAAAAAAAACAAAAGAAAAAAAGGATAAACGGAAAAAAACAATTTCGAGACCCCGCGGGGAAGTGCTTAAAAATTGGAAAAATAAAGTACGAATGAAGCTAGAAATAAGGATAGGACTACTATGAGAAATTTTTTTTTTAAAAATGTATATGTGCTCCCTTTTTTTAATGTTCTTCTCAATACAAATATATTTTTTTTTTATTTACAGTTTAATATTCAACAGTTATGTGAGAAAAGACAATTTTATAAAAGTAAGATTGAAAGTGAAAAAAAATGTTGAACATCCTTTTTAATTTTGCGTTAGATTAATGAGAGTTTTTTTTTTAACTTAACAAATGAGAGGAAAATATGTAAAGAAATATGACAGCGCCAAAAAAGGATTTTTACGACAAAAGAAAGGAGTTTGGAATAAAATTTTCGAGGAATGAACAATCTGATAAAAATAATAGAAGTTTCAATTAAAACTTTTTTTTTAACTCGTTTTTTTTTTTTTTTACTTGGGACGATAAGATCATTTTTTTGTTCATGCGCGTCTGTCTTTAAATTAATTAAAAAAAATATTTTTTTGATGAAATTAATTTTCCTGTTCGCGGACTGGTATTAAATTCTTCCTCCCCCTTTTTCACATTCTACCCATTGGTAGAAATTCAAGTTTTAAATAGTTTTTGGCCCCCGCAGAGGATACTGTCATCTCTTTCGGTTCAGACTTTATTTAATTTGT